CACTAGGAAAGAGTTGAAAATAACAAGCGGTGTCGTGCTTGGTGGAAGTTATTATGTGATTTATTTATATCAATAATAACTTCAATTTATTACCACAAATCCGAATATGAGTCCGGCTTTTAGTTGTCGCATTTTAGTCCAGCTTATATGTAGGATTTATGAGACATGACCTCCTCGTATTCTGCAACGACATCGTCACAGCGGGCAGGTTTTCTTCCAGCTGTTTAAAATCGTCGCTACGCTGAAATCATCAGCACGCAGAACCATTTCAACCGTGTATATGCATGTTCGACGTTAGCTTCGATGAATAGACAAGCCTTCGGTCGTTTCTAAGTTGGAGCTTTCGTGGAATAACTTTCGTTCCTTATTTCATCGCTAATGGACTAATAGTGCCGTTATTCATATAATTATGCCTATTAGTGAAGCTATTTGAGATTATAGGTCAATTTTAGTTCAGTATTTCAGATTTTAGTATTATCATTACAAATAGGAATTTGAAATTAATTCAGTTATTCTGGTGTTCCAAATAAATGATATTACAATTATTGCAGTTCTTTGGAAGTCAGGCTTTGCATGGATGGCATCAACCTTGCTCGTTGTTATAAATGCATATTGCATTTAGCAATTTATTTATTGCAATATGCATAAATGCATATTGCTTCGAGCATATTGCAGCCAGGATTTGTAACTTTGATACATGTGCTGTAAAGGAACAACTTGCTTGATATCAGTCGTTCTTTGAAAACATCTAAGTTTAAATCAAGCAGTTGATCTTGACGTACCATTAAAGTTTTGCAAAAATAATCAGTGGTATTCGTTAATATCTTGTTATTATTCACTAATATTCCGGATGAATATCTCTGCGGTAGTATCGGCTAAGAAACGGAGGTATGCATGCAGGTAGCCTACGTGTAACCTTCTTCGGTTATCACGGACTGCTATCAAAGACTCTCCAACCAAGCCACATTTTGTCAAAACAAAGCGATTAGAAGCTCTCAGGTGTGCCACAATCGCCTGTAATGAATGGATTCATACAGAGAGTCCTTCTTGTTGAACATCAAGACGCCTATACGTCGATATTGCATTCACGAGTTGATGTAGCAGGTCAAATGCAGTCTGAAGGTAATGCTTAACATTAATTCATTCTTTCAAATGAAGCTAATCGTTCTACAGGAGCTTACGATCTATACTGGTAAATAATTCATTGCATGTAAAGTCACACTCGATTATCTCTGCAACATTAAGCCAGATACAGCTAGAGAGGAGATGTGATTTACGCCCAATGAATTCTTTGAAGCATAGTTGCTTTTCTTTTCGCCACAGCCTGATTCTTTTGAAGCAAAGCCAGCTGAATCCAATTGAGGAAACTCCTTATAAATTAATTCTCTAGCTATTAGTTTAAAGCACACGCGAAATCAAGCTACATTTAAAACACAATGAAACTTGATACATTTTGATCTTTGTTCTGCAAGTTAATTAGACCTTATACGGACACATATGCAGTCAATTAAGCAGCGCAGAGAGCGTCCGTGCCAAACTCATATCAAACTCTGAAGCTGATCGCATACATTTAAGTTTACATTTAGCTCGTACATTTAAGTTTTCGACCACCGTAACTTCGGATTCCTCATCTGCGACTGGCACAAATCGTAAAAAGCCCTCCATAATTGAATAGTGCAGATTTGTTTCACCGTAATTAACTTTGAGTAGATGGCCAAAAATCTTCATGTATTCGCATTCGAAGATTTTGTCTGTATATAGTCCGCATTTTCGTGAAGTACGAACTTGGTATCTATCGACGGGCAATATCAGGCGGACGTGTTCCATCACCAATATCGCCTGTATCTCATTTTCGACAGCTTCTCATGGCACGTCCGAGCGAAAATCTTGCGCTTATCGTTGTTTTTCCGAGCTTATCGTGGCACCAAAGATCATCAATCAGATCGTTATAGAAGGTAGCTACAAATGCTTGAGTTGGATATGTTTGGGTACCTGCGTGTGTGTTTGTTTATTAATGACAGTTTTTGTTTTCTGGGTTGAAGTGGTTCTAAATTTTTAAGAATTTAGGTTCTGTTAATAAACATTTAATGCGAAAAAAATTTTTAATTAAATTAATCATTGAATAAATTTACATTAGATAATTTTTAGGTTATGATAATTCGCATGCAATAATCATTCAATCAGTGTCACTTTTCTACCGCAGAAACATAAAAAATATTATTCCAAATAGCTTACAATTATTAATGTGCTCAATATTTCTGTAACTTTCCCGTGTTCTCTGATGTTCGCTTTCAGAAACATCAATTGCATCTCCTCTATACAGACTTGCGCAAATTCCTGCCAAATTCATGAAACGAATTCCATAAAATCTTAACTGGAATGAGTTTTTATAAGTTTGTTCATATTTTTATGCATCTTGTCAGTCGATTGCAATGTACTCTTATCAAGCTTTATTATTACAACACTTCTCTTCAACTTCACTTCTAGTTTGTTTGTCTGCTACAAATCTTATATTCGATATTTAACACACTTCTTCCTGTCCAATCGATCTGAAATTTTGCACACGTGCGCCAAGTCGGAGACTATGTATGAATCAATTGACACAATAAATAATTTTGAAAATTTAAATTTTTTCATATATTATTAAACAAATTTTTAAAATTAAATTTCTTAATATATGGAAATAAAATTAGAAATTCATTGTAGATGTGTGACATCAGAAACACTGGATTCTTTAGAAGTGTTGTCTTTAAAAAGTAATTTTTATACGCATATTATTTTTATAATGCCTTGCAAATTGACAATTAAAATACATCGCGGATTTCAATAAATATGTCGAATCTTTAGCTTTAATTTTCATCCAATAATAAGATGCATAGATAACTCTGATGGATGTAACATTTCTACAGCTATTTACTATGTACACATTTTTTAAGTGCGGGACGCCGAGTCCATTTTGCAGAGGAATTTTGCGGTGTTTAATTGCTCTTCTCGGGAATTTTGAGATCGGTTTTTGATGGTCAGCTTCTTAGGTGGGAATACCGTCTCTGAAATGGCGTCTTTGTCGGAAGTTGTCTTTTTTAAACAAAATTCGGTGTGATGGATGCCTGCATGCGTGATGATTCACTTGAAATGTGATCACGGAGATTTTTTTACTTATTTCGAAACTTATATATTAAGGCGTGAAGTTATACGAGTATTTAGTTGACGCTTTTTTTGCAGTAATTTGCAGGCCTGTTATAGTCTTTCGTGTTTTCAGCGAGCTATTGTAGAGCTCGTCGCATCGCCAAGTTCGCACAGCACGTGAAGTCAGCAACAGGCAAGCCGACAAAGTCAGGCGCTTGTCAGGATTGCTCAGCATCGATTATCCATAACTCAGACTCAAGCATGCCGTCCAATATGCCTCGGGTCTGGCACCACCTCTGAACTGTATATATATTTTCAGCACTTAGCGGTTGCCTGTAGAACACCCGACGGTCGCCCAGTTTTGCCGGGGTCTAAAAGGACTTACATGTGGGGTACGATACCCACTCTGTGTTAATAAAAGGGTCTTATTTTTCTTCTTTTAATTTTTTAAATCACTAGGGTTAGGTCCTAGCAAGGTTTAGTTTCGTTCTTATTGTAGCTTTTGATGAGAAAAGAAACTTTTACTAACTGACTTAACCTGCGAGTTGGCGTTTTTTAGCTGTTAATATTTAAAAACTGAAATGAAACGCAGCTATGACGGTGACTACAAGCCCTCACAACCGTAACATACACAGGCTCAATTATGAAAGGCTGATAAGTTACAATGTTTTCTCACATTTCCCACGACGTGAAGCGATATTATCAGGATTTCTCTCATCCTGAATATTCAAGCTGATGAAAAGTCATTGCCAATGTAGGTATTATAATATTTCTGCAGAGATTGGGATGTTGTATCACATTATACTGCAGACGTTGTGAGTTCTACAATATTTCTGCAAATATCGGGATGTTGTATTGCAATATTTTTACAGATGTTGGCTCGTTGTGTACAATATTTTTGCAAAGATATATAGGGAGGTTCAATTAAAATATTTCGCCAGAAACTGGTTTATTTTACTCCAATTTTCTGAAGATATTTATTTTTTATGCACACTGCAAAATTTCTGCAGTGGTCGTCATGTTGCATTGTATTTCGTCAGAGATTTTTAGGTTGCGCATAATACAATATTTTTTCAAATATTGGAGCGTTGTGAGTGCTACAACGTTTCTTCAAAGATTGGTACGTTATGAATGCTACTATAATTCAGCAGAAATCTAAAGGTTGTGATTATTACTCTATTTCATAAGCGATTGGTTATAAGTGTCTATTTATCTCTATTTCTTTTGATTGGTTATTTCTTCAGAATTTGATCTTCATTATGAGTACAAAAACATTACTCGTTTGGAGATCGGAATGCTGTATTTCTATTTTTTGCTGAGATAGCGGATTTGTGACTATCAAATTGGTCTATAAGAGATTGGTTTGTTGTAAATATTTCTGAATTTTACCGAAAACTGGTAAACGGTCATTTTTACAATATTTTTAGGGATCACCTCATTACGAGCGTAAAAAGATTCTTTTGGAGATCGTTATGCGAGTCCTACAATATTTAAGCAGAGATCAGCACCTTGCACTATACAATATTTCTGTCTGGAATTGCATATTATAATCATTACAATATTTTTATTTCTGTCTGGATGGATACGTTATTAAATATTATTTCTCCTTCGGTGCGTTGTGTGATGCTTCTATCAAGCACCATCGCAATCTAGACAAAATTAATGCTTGCAAATCTTGAGCGAAACTGTGGTTCTGGTTGAGAATTTTCAAGAGATCAAATCGTTGAAATTTTTCATGTGGATGCCATGAATCTTAGTACTTAGGGAAGGGTGAATTTACCGTGGAATACCCTCAGTACTGACGAGCATATGAAGGCACTGAACAGAATACATGGCGATTAATTAAGGGCAAGAGGATGAAAGCAAACGAGCTGTTCCCATTCTCTAACGTTTAATGGCTCCCACACAAACATTCACAATACTTAACAATAGCACAAAAAGGAAGGTACAAACCAGCGGCAATTAATGTGTCATAATAAGCGATCTTGGCACAAAACTTAATTTTAATCGCAACATAAACAGCTTCCTGATCATGCCTTTATTATTCAGCATAACAACCACCAAACCAAACTTGTGTCCACCGATTATTCTATCAATGAATAACTCATTTAATTATAGAGACAACGAAGAACAGAGGAATTGAACTGGTTGACCCCCGCGCATGTCATAAAGGCATTGGGATCAATCTTCAGAATTAGTTATCCTAAATATTAAAATTCCTCTTTCCTCAACTCGCAGTTAATTTTACGGTTAAATACCTAAAAATACGATCAAATTAAGGAAACGTGTATGACGTCATTATGTTAATCACATTAAAACACGTTTTTTTGCAAGTTTCATAAAGGAAACCGTAAAAAACTGAAATATAGACAAGACAAGCAAAATTAGCCGTCAATCGGGTTGACGGGTAAATGCCTGTCATAACCCTGCACATTTGCGACGATTGATGTAGAATAATTATTGGTAATTAACTACAAATACATCATCCATGAATCTGCTATAGATTTGCCCAACGATCGATTTAATAACATGTAAAATACACCGTCTCAAGAAATGCTTTAAGATTCTTTACAAATATGTGTGCCAAGTTATGGGTGTGAATAGGGGGGATGCGCATTGCAAAAAATACAGGAATACTAAAGTATAGAAAATCTAAACATTATTAAAAATACGCAACCTCAAATGCAAATTCCTACTTTCATGCTATTGACATGGGCAAAACCGAAATCAATCGCGTATCACATGTAACAAATCCAAACATCTTCACGTAATTCCTTCTTGCCGTCTTCCCTCATTTGTGTAGCTAAGCATTTCTACATTGGAATTTGAGCTGAAGTTGAAAATTAAGACTGAATTTAAATGCATATAATACCTTTAATTATTAAATTTATTATCTACGTTAAAACATAGCGTCAAGAATCGTTTGGCAATAATCAAAAAATAATTTCTGCGCAAAAGAGGGGACTTTCTGTTGGAGCGTCGTTCGACTATCAAAACAAAAGATATGGAGAGCTTGCTTAATTAAAGTACAATTATTTGCCTTGTACCCGTATGGGGCAAAAAATAAAGTTCATGGGTCAAGGAAGAACCGTAATTTAGCAATATCAATTGGACAATATCATAGTTCATAGGTCGCAGTCACGGAAACTTTGCAGGTATAGGAAATGTTTATCTAACAATTTCTAATAGGATTTTAAGTAAATTGCTGGCTTGTCCATCGGCAAAGAATTTTCAAAAACCATTCGCCCGGCTGCTCAAAATTGAGCACATTCATCCCTGCCACAAATGAATCTCCAGAAGTAGAAGCTTTTTGCCGAATCCCCCAAACAAAGTTTATCTTCTTTGGCGCTAAACTTATTTACAGACAAGTTATTGCAAGATTTTTACAAACATAAATTACTTTAAATGATCTTCTATGACACAGGATAAAGTACAAGCTAACGCGTCTCAGTATGTACATATATTCAGCTTTAGTTTATTTAACTATATAGGAAAACAAGGTTAAATGACAGAGCATTCGTTTTAAATAGTAGCCAGACTTTCACCACTTAAAAAATCTATAGCGATCAGCTGAGCCTATGACAAGCTCATGGAATTTATGGGGGCATTTTATATTCATTTAAATAAATATTTTTTTCTTCAGAATGAAAATTTTAATTTTTCTGGTTTAAATGCTCCCAGATTTGGTTATTTTTAATACATTAGTCAAGTTATTTACTGATATTTAAAAAAGGGCGGCATAAATAGTATTAAAATGCTCATCTTAACTGCCCTGTCTGTAAGGTCACCAAAATGTGTCAGGACAGTCAATGTACTGTCTGGTAAATGTGCATCGCTACTACGATAGAGACTTTATTAGCTCAATTGTCTCGCATGGTGATTTGCGTTTAGATGCATTCGGCTCCAGCATTTACAGAATTACTCCAAAATATATTTTATTCTATAGAAGGAGCAATCGGGGACGCTTATTCTTTCTTATTTACATTGAATTAGTCATTTTTACAATTGCTAGCACCACGGATTTTGTTCACAAAATGAGCAACTCCCCGTACATGAGCTTCGCTTTAATGCTGATGTCGGCCTGTGAAAGTTGAGCTAAATAACGCAGCTATTCAAATGTAGTATTATAACGGTTATACATTTATTTTTTAATTATGTTAGCAAAGTTACTTCTACACCAGCAAAGAAGAAACAAAATTTTTAATGAATTTATATAATGATTTTAAGATAATGGGAGATTTAAGAAGAAATGCCCTACCAAAACTGTTTATAATGAATTTATCAATGTCTACATTATCGCTAAAAACATTCAAATATGATAAAGCAACATATTATGCACAAGTAATAAACTGAATTTATCTCCCTTCTGTTTCTTGCAAGCGATATTGCTTCTGACGAGCCTCTGCATGATCAAAACCATTTGAAACGTAAAACACAAGGAAACAACTTTGTTTGAATGGTTACATGGAAACGCATGCATTCGCAATAGATTACTGAGCAGATATTTTTTAACAGACTACGCCTCGAATCAAATATACCTCTGTGCATCAGGAGGAAGGGTCTAAATTATTTGTACAATACCTCAGATATACCGGACTAAAGAAGAACGGGTTTCTTCAAAGATTCGCGGGCACCTGATGTTGAAGCGCGTAGCTGTAGCCGTGCATAGGGATGGGTCTTGGTGGTCCAGCCAGCAATGAAGGAGGATGGGGGGCGTGATGCCTTAAGTAAGGATAACCGTACATATCTCGAGCTGCTTTGTCTAAAACTGATGATGTTGAGTGAGGGGAAGGTAGGGGAGGAAGAGGCAACGGGTGGGTCCGACCCAAATACACAGCAGGATGCACTATGTGGCCGTAATATATATGAGGATAAAGCATTGGTGCTGAATTTGGTGGCACAGGACCTCCATATGACGTCAAACAGTGTTGATGTGAAGAGAGTAAACCTGGATCATGAGGCAAAATGGGGATGTTTCCAGTGCTTCCAGAGGAGCTGGTAACGGGAGGGGTCAGAAGTTTCAACGAAGAGTCCGTTGATGGTAGCGGTGATGTCACGGATGGCACTAACGACGACACTATTGCGCTCTGATCAATGCCTTCTGACTTAACTGGAGGACGGGTGGAAGGTAGGAATGGAGATGGAGACGATCGCACGGGTCGGAGAAATGAAGCCGGTGTCGCCGGGCCTTCGATGTCGACTTTTTCGTCGGGGTCTACGAGGTCTTTCTCGACGGACATCGATGATCCAGGGCGGTCGTCCATCTCTTCAATGTCATGTGAGCTGCCCACACTGTTTGGTCGTTTCCTCTTGTCTACGCCTAGTGAAAAGAAATGTAAAACATCAATCACTTCATCTTACACAAAATCCCAATTCATGCTTGGTACAAAATAATTATATAATGCTTGAGATTTTTCTCTCTAAAAGATGTTATCGAAAACAAGGGCCAAAGTTAAAAAAAAATCTATTTACTTCAGTTTAATGATCCGTTGTTTGAAGATCACAAGTTTATTCACTTAAGCTAAACTTTAGTAAAAAACTAAAAAAAGACTAAGTATTTTGGGCTGTACTTACAGCATTCTTCGGAAGGCGTCTTCTCGGGTGAGCTACTGGTAATTTCGCAGGCAGGAGGAGAGGTACCACCAGCGCGCTTCTTGGACCTAAGCTGTCCGTTCTCACGGAAGCCTTTAGCGAAGGGATTATTGTTGATCTTGAGTTGAGTGATACGGTCGTTCTGATACGCAGTTACTGCCAAGAACTGCGTCTGGCTAAATGTGAAGCTGTTATAGATGCCCCAGTGCAGGCTAAGGATGTCGTTTGCAGCTACAATATGGATCCTGGGCTGGAATTTGTGCATGGAATTGAGTACGATGTGACCTTGCTGGTCCAGGTTATTGTTTGTCAGCTTCACCTTCTGGAACGAAACTGGATGACGCATCCACTGTGCGCCCGAGGCAGGAGAGTCGGGGTGGATGTAGAGACGTCCTGGGAGGTGAGGCTCTGCCTTTCCTGCCACTACCCATTCTTTGCTCTGGAATTTGTATCTTGAATCATCAGCTGGAATTATGTCCATCAAGACGAAATATTTCGTGCTTGGTTCCAGGCCAGTAATCGAGATCTTGACGGTGGGGAACATACGCCTGAGATATAAAAAAAAAAACATTTTTATTTGTATTGTAATAAATGGTGACGGAGTGATGAAATTATAAATTTAGAATAAACATTTTCTGAAGAAACGTTTCCTCTTTGAATGCCGCTTGCGCTATAAATAACTGCATCGATATTAGCAAAAGTACACAAACTTAAAAATTGAATCTATCTAATAATAAAACAGCCGTTGGGAGTGACTTAAACCGAAATTGAAGTATCATCTTATAAATGAGCTTCCACCTCACTAATTATTCAATCACTACCCGATGAGGCAGGAGGCACACCATCCGCGGTCCAGGACCAGCTGTTAAGAACTTCTTTATGCATTCAAGTCATGATCGGGTATCGAGCGGACACCGTGAACATTGTTCAAAATAACAAGCACGTCATCGTCGGCCAATCATCGGTAATTCAGAGGCCACCGATGAAGCTTGGATAATACAGAAGCTATAAACACAGCAGACCGTATACGAGACGCCCCTAGGCCCACCGCAGGAGCAACTCAGGCTCGTCCTATAATAGGCGCCTGATTATCCATGGACGGCTTATGCTCAGAGCAACAAAAAGCGCCAATTACGTTCAAATTGGAGCCTCTGAGAAAAAACTAATAACCACTCTAAGATGTAATTTGGATCACTTGAACTATTGTCCCTTAAAACAAACACAGTCGATTCGCATTAGCAATAAAAATGCGTTGGCAAAAAGCGCTACAATAAAAGACCATCGCACGTACGTGGCAACACCACGCATAGATCTGAATGTGCTTTGGGTCCTATATATATATACGTACGTGTGTACCCACGTGAACCTACGTGAACTCTCGTGCATGTGGGTCTTACGTATGTAAATGGGACCCTTGGTGTTCACGTATAATGTATACAAGCCTTACAAGAGCGGGCGTCCAGCTGTGAAATAACTTTTCTACAGTTGATTATTTATTTTAAACATTTATGAGGTACAAACGCTGCGCAGTCGCCGCTGAGCACAGCATTTGATTTAAATTTGTCACGAATTTAAATTTCAGGTTGAAAGAGATGAAAAATGCTAATTCAGACTTAAATGTTACGGCGTCTTTGTAAGTTACTGGCACAAGAAAAATCTGACTTGATTCCTAGAAATAACCTAAATATAAATTTTCTGCCTTCGAAAATAAATCAGGTGCATACAAATTGTTAGCCGCGTATTCAAAAAAATTATCTCGAGGGCAATAGATTTTGTACAATGAGGAGAGCGGCTGTCCGTAACGGCAGGTCTACGTCAGAATTAAGTGCAGGCGGACGTGTTTTGGCCGATGGAGATACATCGCCCCAGGTTTGTGTTTGATCTGGATGATAATCGCGCCGGCGTTAACTAGACAAATCTCTTTTATTCTAAAAAATGTTACATTGCAATATGTGATCGCCATTCAAATATTACTGCTGGGAATTTTTATTTAGGCATGAACTATTTCCTCTTTAGGCTTCATGTACGCTGAGAACTTATTTTATCATCAAATCGAAATGGAACCGAAAGCGGACTTCATCAAGATCGAAATAACATCGAAATCCATTAACTGCAACAGATGGCCAGCTAAAAAAGCGACAAAAATAAATTAAATGCTTAGTTTCAGACACGATAAAATGCTAAATTATGCCAAGACCTTTCATAACAATTTTAACCCGTAATCAATAGAATTTTCATACCTTGGTGATTTTAGGGATAATTTAAAGCCCGTGTCAAGAGACGTCACATACTTGACTGAACCCTGGTGTAATTTAATGACCTTCAGTCAACATTCTACACTAAGATCATTATGCCTAAAAAGCACCAAGAATTTCCCGTAATGCTTAGAAAAGAGCAATATTGATAGAGAGAGTGAGTGATCCAAACATCATTACGTACGCTAGAGTTACTGGGCGCTGTTTGGCAAGACGCGTAGTCAAGTCTACTCGACTTTCAAGGCACTTAGCTCTCTCAAATAGGCCAGACTTTTGACTTTTTCCCGAGAGAACTTGATGAGGAAAGAGACTCGTGTTTCAAGACAAACATCGGTGCTATTGCGCGTCGATGCGCGGCTGGTCGCTTCGGCAAACACTGGCCTACAATGGGGTTTGATTGAAACGATGCATGAGTTCACAGGTTAGTATTTTTGTTTGACCGAGCGGAACAAAACAACAGCGAGTGGATAATTGCTGCCGTACTAACGAACTCTTGACTTGACAGGGCTGCGCATCTTGCGGGGCTCGTTTATTACACGTGAACCTAATATTTTTATGTTATTATATACGAAGTATGAATGAATAATAAAATTTGTGGTCGTGAAGTTTCTTTTTATATGAATTCAGTTTAATCTCCAAATTAGAAGTTGAAAATTATCCTGCATAACTAAAACTTTCTCACCGGATTCACTTTGTTTAAATCTAATCATTACTTCTTGGAGACGAGTATTTCCCGTAGTTGCCATACTAACACATTCAACGCAATTATCTCGAAACTTTGTAACAGTTCTTAATTAAATAAATTCTGAGACACCCTGCCCTCGCGGTGACTTGTGAGAATTGCCGTGCCATTCGAGTACAATTAAAAAGACATTCAAGGTCCCTCTTCGCCCGCATCATTTCGTAGCACATATTTTTCATACACATAATAAAGTAATGAAATCTTAGCCCTAAACGCTGAATTCCAAACTGTTTAGAACTTTCGGTAATCTTATTGTAAGCCAGAAGATTAAGCTTTCCGAGGCAGCTTTACACGGTATTGTAATTTTCGAGCTTAGAATAGAAAAATAAGATTATATATTCACGCTTAAAATTTTCCTGGTTTCATATATGAGCTTCAAATTTTACATCAAGTACAAAAATAATTACTGTGTACAAAATCGGGTAAATTATCTTCTGTATTATTAACAGTGCTGGAAAAATTCTCACCTGCCCAGCTTTGTGATGATCATTTCAGTGCAGAACTTGTCGAATTGGTTCCAGAGATTTTCGTTCTCTAGACGCACTTTAATTCTGGGGTCGGGCTTGGTGTTCATGGGGAAACCGGGGGGCAAGTGAGGTCCTTTGATGAAATCCCCATGGAACCCAGGGATTGTGTGTTGCATCGCCATTGGTGAATCTATTGAAAAAAATTTAGGATATTAAATTCGTGGGAAGAAATGCTACATTTTAAACTGAAGGGTTTTCACAATTAATAATGTACCTTCTATAGGGATATACTAGATCGACTGGAAACTGACTTCCACGTACAGGGGATGTCACGCAAATATATTAGGTGATGATCTTTGCTAGAAGGAAAATTAGAAAAAAAAGGAAAAATTAGCACAGACTGCATCGATGTTTTTTCTGAAAAGAAATGCACATTAATGATGCCACTTATGTACATTAACAATCAGCATCTTAGATCTTTTATCAACAAGGAATGGTGTTTCTGATTAGCTTGTGCTGCAATGGAATGTTCAAAATTTATGAGCTAAAGCAGCTATATTAACTCTCAATTAGGTATTACCTTACGGAGAAAAGGAAAAAATTATACTAAGGATTAAGTTTTTAAAGTTATCCCATCTCGATCAATTTACGAGTAGTACCTGAATCGGATAAAGAAAATCTGCAAAACGCTTTATAGTAAAAAATTTAGCGACAAATTAAAAAAACTCGATTGCCTAAAATTAGGAATTTTTATGAATACAAATAAATAAACGTTTACTCGACAAGAAGTGGGAGGAATTCATTACCTACAATTTATATGGGCAGATCAAGAAATGAAATTCAAGTCATCGAGATGACGTAAAGTTTATTTCGAAATGAATCGATTTTAAACTTGAACTCATGATTAAACACTGAATGTTTGTGAAGTTAAACTGAAATGAAAAACGCAGAGGTAGTAATAAATATAAGATAATATTGATATTTTAGAAAAATTTTCATTCAAATTCAGTTTTAGACTTGAGAATTGTTTTCAAAACTCTGAAAAGAAGTAAGTACAATAATATTGTTTTATTTAAACTTACTTCTGAAAAGAAGTAAGTTTAAATAAAACAAGTTTCAACTTCATAACGTTCTTAGTTTTTTATTTATTAACAAATTAAAAGGGTTACTTAATTCTGAAACACCCTGTATTACGCAAGCTGCTTGCATTAGTCATTTTAATAGTCTACAAATTTTCAACGCACGTTGAAACGTTCTATATAGAATTGATGAAAATTAGTGGAAATCATGTCAATCATTTGCATTCATGACGAGCCTTTACTTAATTATATTAATTTAAACAAAAAATATTTTTGTAGGAAGTTTCTGCATAGTTGAACGTTCTTACGTTTCAATTTTAGGTTGATTCTTCTTCTCTAGCTCCCTGATTATGGAACATAAACTTTTACGCATTTACGCAATCAATGTACGCATGTTATTTAATTTTATGACTAGAAAAATAAATGAGTTAAACGAATCACCTGTCAATATATAGATGCTCATAAACCCGTGTGCTATAAATATTCATTGGAAATAAAATCAACTGTATACACATGTATATCGAAATCGAAAGTCGACATTCCGTGTGCTTGCACATCTTATACATGTAGCAATTGTCCCATATATACCCAACTAGCGGCATCCTGCCTGTCCTCCAATAACCTAAGCAAACTGAACACAAAGCTTCGTCGTACTGAGGAAACTATCGGTCTCAATTTGTTGGCGATGTCTACAGGCCTGCCATGGAAAAGACGCCACACTGTAATTTGCGTCTGCAGCTCATAGATCACCTCAAGTCCTGTTAGATCTTTTGTCTGCCCTCGTCATGGCTTAACTTGCGTCCATGAGCACAAAAATGTTACCGAGATAATCTAGAGATCAATGTCGAGAATATCGCTAGAGGCTCAAGATTGGATCGAGGCCATTATTGTCTGCCGGAGCATCGCCATGTGTAGAAGATAGAGCAAACCAACGCACCCGTTTTATGGGTTCTGTGAAATTTGATTATTATTCAAAAACGCTAAAATAATTATTCACAACGAAGAAAAGACAAAAAAATTCATTACGGAGAAGTTTGATATTTTAAATAATTTTGATTCCAATTTGATTATTAAGAAAATGAGTTCACTTCAAATTATTAGCTGAAATAATAATTAGGAGCTAATAATATTGTGTATATGGGAAGTAAAGAAATAAATATTATGAATAACCACAGGTAAATGTAGCAAAAGCGAACTGTGAATAAATATACTTAATATCGGCACTTTGGTTTCGATGAATCACTAATACCGCTTTGGCTGATGGATTCGTGAAAAGTTTGCCCTGGACCAAATAAAGAAATGAAGTATTGACAAGTTTGCCCTGGATCAACTTTAGCAAACGAAGTATTGATAAGTTCGCGCAGGATCAAATTTAGCTAATGAATTATTAATAATAAGGTTCGCCCTGGCTCAAATTTAGCAGACGGAATCGTGATAAGTTTGCCCTGGATCAAATTGTACTTATAAGGTTGAACTCGATCTGAATTATGTAGGTTCGAATGCTACGGAAATAATCCATAAAGCATGCTTAAGCGGAGCATAAATGACAGGTTGGCACGGTAGGTCTAACGAGATAAACGCGCGGGCATAAAAATACTGGCTTTATTGCAGGAAAACTTCCATAAACGCATACATGCGCCTCGGCGCGGCGGTCGACTCACCTATACCCAGTGAAAATTTACAGACGCGGCAGCGTCTGATTTAGATTACCAGAAGCTGAGGCGACTCTAAATTTTATTAAGGTAGAACGTCTTCCTGTCCCTCTTCTTCTGATAAACATAGGCGCGTTATCGGTGGCCACAACATTGGCTGACGACCGGCCATACATGACATGGCTTTAATTTCTAAATGAACTAATAAGGTAGCCTCACGCGTAGGAGTATGTGAGTAACGTAGTACGTGAAACCGCAATACCCACTTGTATATGAATTAAATGGATTTGTTTAATGAGTAATATTCCAGTTGTCCTAAAATCTGCTCATTGGTATTGTTTTAAGCTTAGCTCCATATTAAACGTGAACTCAAATTGCATCTATGAAGCAGAGTTCTCAATATTTTGATCGGATATAAGTATTAAAATCACTAGATTGCTTAAATCGCAAGTTTATCAAGAAGTTAAAAGCAAAGAAAACAGTAAAAAACATTCACCATTTCCTAAGAATGAAAACGATTTGGAGTCCAGCTCATGCATTGCCAGTTCAAAAGTTCAAAAACCTATAAGAAAAGCAGAATCAATTTTCTAATTGATTCTGCTAGCAGCTAGCTAGCTAGCTTCTTATAGCTAGCTATAAGAAAAGCTTTTCTTATAGGTTTTAAACTTTTGAACTGACGATGGAGCTGGACTCCGAAACGTTTTATTTCAAAAGAAATCGTTATCATTTTGGCTGTTTTCTTTGCTTTTAAATTCTTGAGAGTTCTCAATTTATTGAAATGAAATTTAAAATATGATGAAAATTAGTTTCACCAAAGTTACGTTTTTCCGTTTGAATTAAAGATCAATTGAGATATTTTAGATCTCATATCGAGGCTAATAAATTTCTAGTAGGATGGGTAAAACATTCATTTCTTGTTGCCCTAAGTAATTAAAACTTGAGTATCGGGCACAAATTGTATTTTTGTTCTTTGGGCATAGGCCTAATCTGTGAAGGTTGTTTTTATTACGCGGTCAATAAACCTAAGAATACTCACATTCTTGACGCATTGAACTTCAATTGAACATTAATGAATAGTTTGACGCGTGGTATTTAATCATTTAATTATTGTCATTAATTAATGCAGTGCTGGTTGATGTATTCACTGTGAACAGACATATACAAGGAAACTTGATGCTGGGCCTATATATATAGACGCATCTGAACATCGCAATTTTGATACCTTATAAATTGGATCGTATTTAATTTTTTGACAGTGAATTTATAGGAGTGAAAATTTCCCTCATTTTTGAAAATATGAAGCTCTCTTTTCTTAGGATTTTGTGAAGTTATTTAATTGATTTACCTGCCTTGTAAACTTGATCATAATATTTGCATCGCAATCAAAGTAATAAATTCGTATATAGAGAAGGAGAAAATCATGCGGAAAATTGTAAAATAATTTGGATACGAGATTAAAATGTTCTTAAAAGATTTAGGCACTAAATGACATATTTACAAAACATTGAAGTTTATAAATAACTTATATATATATATATATATATTAATACTTTGATGAGCGGGCTTATTTCAGTGCCATACTCAGTTAATATCGGTTCTGCTGGAAATTTTAATCAAAATATGAGAAAAATTCTATTTGACACAAATTATTACTTGTCAATATTGAAATATGATACAAAAAGTAATGCATCACACATTCTAATCGTATGAAACGATCAAAATTGTATAAACACAAAAAATTCTAAGGGAATATATTTTCCCGACACTATTATTTGATATGGACAATAGAATTAAATTCCTCAAATTTTCTTGAAAGCCAGTATAGTGAAAATCTCAATTAAACTACGACGTGATTAAGCCGTAGACTAGCTTTCTATCTGTGGTCGAAGTCGCAACGAGCGGTAACGGTACTCTTTTGTTCATGTAAAAACATTTTATTTAGACACGGTAATCAAAGGGAAAACAATGGATGTTTACTCACGTGTAATGCCAAGTCGGTATCGTTCGATCTGGTCGACCAAGTTGCTGGTCAGGCTGCTCGCCGTTGAGCCGAAGTATGGGTTCATCAGCCCCTGTCCTGCCATGGCTCGACTCTTGAAGTAGAGGATGTCTTCTTCGTACATCATGTAGATCAAATAAAATACGTTTAGTCAACAAGTCTGAATTCACCTAAACATAATTTAGACTTTGGAAAAGTTCACTTGTGCAGTACTCTCATAAGTCCTGGTAAAACTTCTAACAAACGCGCCGCAGTAAGTCGGTTCCGCTCGGCTATCGGGTTCCAACAGCACTAGAATTACGAAATCTCTCTAGAAGTCTAGATAGCTCCAAGATCACTCACAGTGTCAAAATTCTGGACTGTCACCAGTTTTACACGACAAATAATATCAGGGTAAGGGCGTTGCGAATATATTCATGCTGCACACCTAGAAGCGCACATCTTAATGGCACCAAAGCTCTTGGTCAACTATCTTTGTTAAGGTTAAACAGATAACTTTTGTGGAGGGCCTACAGAGTCCCGCCTCTTGTACACCCGAGCCAATGGCTCGAAGCTTCAGTAACAAAACCAATAATCTTGCTCTTGGTACCCCACGAATGGGACGGAAGGTCTTCAGACAGCTTAGGCGGAGCCACAACGATGTCTAAATTACTGGCACGACCCACGACGCAGCCACACACATCGCCCCTTGGCAGACCAAAAAACTCTGGAGTTTTTAGGTGGCCACTTTTGAGATGAGCACTCCGTGGCTTAATAACAATACACGGAGTCAAGCGTATAAGAAATGAGCAGCTGGCTTTGTTTAATCTGTGTGGGAATTGACGTGTATTTCTCTTGGGCCGTGCAAGGATCGGCAAGGATGGCAGCGGAATGGGAACTACTCGACACTCGCGCAACGTCGGCGGGTGGTTTGCAGACGAGTTCGAGGTGGTCGAGCTTAACAGGCTCAAATTGGGCACATTTCTCGCAAGGATGTAATTTTTGGCTCACTCCTATATCTACAGTCAGAAAACATCCCGTAATAATCGTCATCTGTCATTGCGATAGGAGGCGATAATTCTAGGAATGAATGAGACTTCGCCCCTGATGGTTTAGAAGGTTCTTGACGACGCAATTCTCCAACTAGAATATATAACAGAGATGTCGCAAGAAGCATAGAGGGCTTTTGAAGACTCTAGTTACACAAGAATATAAAGGATGACCTAATCGAGTACACACTATGCAATGTGGTCAACGAAATCTAATCTAAGGTCAATAGAAAATTCTAATTAAATCCTTTCCGAAAATGTCTTGAATAACTCACCTAGATGTACGAAAATTTAAACTTGACACGCATGATATCTGAAATTATTAGCATTTCAATCAGTATGAGCGGGATTAATAAGACTTCCATCTCTGTCTTCATGTGTAACGCCCGTCATTGTGCAATTTGGCATCCGCATGGCCGGATATGTTAATTACCTTTGCATTTCGTATTATTGTTGTAATTATCAAACTAGAAAAAAATTCGCAATTTTTTTTGCTTGTATGAATGAAATTAAATCTGTATGAATGAGATCCACGAAGGATGCAAATTTCGAAGGATTTTCGGTAGCTTGTTTATTGTTAAGTTACAACCATTAGTTGACTGCTTATGAAATTATTAATGGAAACAATTAATGTACTCTGATTTCTGGCGAAATTTGAGACAAATTGCTCTTATTAAGTGACATATATTTCAATCTCATGATATCATGCGACGTCAAAATTGCCTAAATAACTTGACTAAACAAATTACCAAAGACTCTGAAGTTTCCTTACAATTTTGTTAAAAATTATAGTCATTGGGCAATTACATACTAGATAATATTTTACTGCATTAGAAGTTGTTGCCAACAAATTGGATTCATTAAAAACTAAAATAATAATAAATTTTTAAACATCAAACGTTGTGGCCAACGAATAGATTTAGACCAAATCTGAGAAATATATAGTAGGAAGTAAATATAACAGAGAGGGTGAACGGGTGATGTTCGTTCCCTGTCAGATTTTCACAGACCATTTTGTCCTTTGCATGGTCAACCGTTCGATAAAATACCAGCTGTACGCATTTATATCACACGTGAAGATTAGTTCATTCACATTATCAGAAACTGTTCCAGTTTCATTAATCTAATTTTGTCGGCATTTACTCCAGGCAATCGATGCTAAAATCTACGTCTGTTGTCCAAATGAGAAGCTAAAGTTCTCGCGCAATTCTGTCCATTTGGCGAAAGGTTGCGAGCGAGTTGTTATTTTCGCCGGTTCAGTCGCATTGAACTGCACAGTTTCGGTGAGACTCCGTGGAGCGAATCACAGTTGCCGAGTATAGAGGTAAGTGGAGACGTGCATATATAATTACGTGTCACTTGATTGTGAGTTACTGCTTATTTATGGCTGGAATAGAGCCTTATTTATCGCCCATTTTGCCGAGAGTGGAATTCTATCTCATTTGCGTCTTATTATCAAAAACCGTGAAGTATGAAGCATCTCGTCATTAGTTAACGAGTATACGAAGTGCAAGTTCAAAGAAACTATGAAGTTTATCATACCGTTTGAAAAATAATTTGAATAGCAATTGGATAAATTAAAGCAATCAATTGTAATGAAAATATGAACTCCAAGCGAGCTGGAGCTTCATGCTCAAACGAAATTGAAGACAATATAAAGGGGAAATATTTAGCATAGTCATATAACTGAGCTAGGCCACTTTGGGGCCAGTTTTTAACAAAATATTTCAAGTGTATTATACAGTTCAAAATTGATTTTAAAACTGAAATGAATTAACGATCGAGTGTAAATAATAATTTTGTCATTAAATAGAAGACATTTATACATACATCTAAATATAAAACCACCCCTGCAAAGAATGTATTCTATGGCCGGTACGTGGTTTTGGGTAATTTCAAATTCAAGTTAGATTTTGGGGGAGTTATAAATTTAAAAAGTAATAGGCCTAATATAGTGATTACTTTATTTATCACTGGTATTACTAATTGACCAGATAATGGGTAAAATTTGACCAACATATATGAGTTTAATTTTGTTCTCTTTATTATCAAGGAGTGGTTTCACTTCGTTATTAAACTATATGGCTGATTTCATGCACATGTTTTTAAATTTAAAATTTTTTTCATAAATTTTCACCATTATCGATGACTTTGAATTGGTGATCGACATGTGCAAGTTGGAATTAAATATTTTTATTTGAAACAGAAAGACCAACAGAGAGTTCAAAGAATAAATTCCACTATGAGCCTCGGTGTCATCGAATATATGAAATATTTTCGTAATTGCCAGGTGACTTCAGCAATGGAATTCTGCGCTCTTCAGCAGCGACGTCGTAAACCAATTGCTTGATACTTTAATTGAAGGCCCAAACATAAACTTCGGTGCGTTAGACACAAGCGCGGCTTATAGCTGGCCGCTGGCTGACCGACCGTCGAGCGGTGCTGACACAAACTTTATTTAATCGGATAATTTCAATTAATTGTTGTAGGTAATGATGTTTTAATTATTACCTACATTAATGAGATATTTTTGTGGTAGGTAATATGGAAGTATACTGGTGTCCCTTTTTTTAATTTAAAACTGTTCCTCAGTACGTTGAAAATATGGAGAAATTTATTTCGAGACCTGCTTTAAAAAAATTCTCAAAATCAATTAAAGGAAGCTGCATGAATATGTTTCTGCTATGCAGTTCAGTTGAATATTTGCACGAATAATGCTGTTTATCTCGCAATATCAGGCATTTTGTGATAAACTTGAAATAATATTAATAATAAATTATAATTCGAATAATGAATGCATGCGATTTTATTTCTACACAACAAAATGCATGTGTATAACAATATAATGCAATATATGCATGTGTCTGCGGTCGCTTCCGACGAGGCACGTACGCGAAGAGCGCACGACTCATATCGGCGCGCTAAAAATTATACAAAATTAATGAAAGCTGATGATAATTATTCGTTTATATTATCTTAATCTAAATACTCGTATAATTTAATTTGTAGTGTTGCGCTTTGTGTGCACATTTGTTTTGATAAAATAAAAGTGATAAAATATATAAGTGATGTACTGTTTTCCTTGATGAAGGAAAATTCGACTTCATATTTAATTTTGATTGTCATCCTGCCTACATGCAACCTAGTACGTATCCAAGTACGTATTTTTATCCTAACTTCATCCAACCCAAACACACTTATCATTTTATCTTCACGTCATTCATATAACTCAAACAATTTATTTTATCCTCACGTCATTCAACCGATACGTTATTTTATCCTCACGTCATCCAGCCCTACCATCCTATTATATCCTCACGTCATCCAACCAAAAAATATTATTTGCCCTAACGTCATTTAATTCAATTTTTTACCAGCATTTAACACTGGCACGTTAAAATTAATCAAAGTTCAGCCAGTTAAAAATCAGAAATGGCTTTCGAGAACATACGTTATAAAATTTAGCGTAATGAGCACTTTCGCTATTAGAACCTCAAGCTAAAATGTAAGTAGTAATGCGGCTATAATACTTACAACAAAAATAAGTAGATTTATCCAAGAAAGTTTCTTCGCACCAAATTCAATTTAAAAAGGTACTGGTACGTCTTGTGGTACTGCTGCTCACTCGACTAGTGTTCAACCTCAACTGATCCAAGAGTGAGTCTATACCCGCGCATGTGCTGTTAAATTGGAACCTGCGATCACCTAAGATTATCTGTTAAATTGTGCAGACGAAGAAAGTGTATGAGGAAAGAAAAGTATTGTTTATGATGTAATCTTGATCGAGGATCAGCAAAGTGTGGTGAATTTCCTCGATACTATAAGGCTACTTAGACAAACACCGTTGACCCAATGGTTTTAATTGGTTTCATTGTGATCGCGACCACGAAGCTACCTGAACAAACTTCAAATTAACCACAAGCTTTAGATCTAACAAAGAATTCTTCCTTGAGAGCTCCAATATCACTTGAACGAACAAGCTTATCTCAGAGCGTGAAATTCGCAGATAACACAGCTCAGGAAACTCACCTGGAAAGCATAGCAAATTTAGTAATTTGCATATATTAATAAAAAAACTTTGTTTATGTATTATATTATCTCTTTTGAATGTATAAAATTTTCAGTGTCTTTCTGATAATATAATATGAAGTGGATCATGTGACAATATCTGCCACGTCTAGGAATACATATTATATCTAAAAATTGTATAAGAAACGCTTGATTAATCTCAACCAAATAATAAAGAACTAATTAGAAAACCAGAATTTTTTTCATAAATGAGAAAATGCGCTAAAAATACTTCACAAATTTAAATTTGCAAATACGTACATCAGATTATTATTTTTCAAAATTTTATTTTTAGAAACAAAAAGTCGTCGGCGTATTCGAGTTATTAAAATAAAGTACAAAAATCTTAACATATTTAT